GGTGGTGGTGGTGGTGGTGTTCTTGTTGGTCTTGTTGGTGATGTTGGTGGTGGTGGTGTTTTTGATTTTGCTGTTGTTGTTGTTGTTGTTGCGTTCGTTAATGAAAGAGAAATTCATGGATACGACGAGAGTTGATCAATGCCGAGAAATAGCAAGACAAGACAGACAATTATTACAATAGAAGGAAAGAAAAGAGGCAGTACAGGTGAACCTACCCAATTCACCCTCCAACCGCCTGATTTTGTTACTGCTGTTGTCGTTGTTGTTTTTGTTGATGCTGTTGTTTCTATTATTATTTTTTTGCTGTTGTTGTTATAGGTGTTGTTGATGTTGTTGTTGTTGTTCCTTTGAGAGGTTGAGATTACAACCCACTTTCTAAGAAAGCCTCGGTATAATATTACTTGCAAGGAAGGGAGTAGGCTTCGTGTGGGTTTTTTTTTTTTAACCAACCAGCCTTGTATGAAACCTCACAGTCTCTGTGTTTTTAAAGATCACGTAATGAAATTAAATATGAGAGGCTGAGAGCAAAGTTTGTGTTTTACTGAGTGCCATAATAAGTAATCTATCGGGGTTCATCATAATTCTATTAGTTCTCCTTCTAGCAACAGGGCTAAGACCTATAATGGAACGCAGTTTTCAACGAGATGACCTAAAAACATAAAAGCTCAGGTTTTAAAAAGACATGTTACAATGTTAAAAAGCAAAAAGCGGGGGGAACAAAACAACTACTTCCGAAAATAACAGACTGTTGTCATCTTTGGAAATCTTCTTTTTAAAAAGTGTTTGTTTCTACAACAATATAGACCAAAGACAGGTCATCCTCTGCCATGATTTTTTAAGGAAATATATTTGTGCGGAAAAGAAAGGAAAGACGAGAAAAGAAATGGAAAAAAAACTATCTAGTTTCACATGAATTTACCTGTAAGAACGCCTTGCGTTCTGCAGTCTGTACCCGTTAGTTTGAGCAAAGAAATGTACTATGGTCACGTTAACTGTCATTTTGTGCAGAGCACGAGAAACGATAATATTATTACAGATAGCAAAAAAAAGCAGAGGGGATGAAAAAAGTGCCATTAACTTGTGGCACCCCCCCCCCC